CGTCTATCACTTATTCTCATTATCGGACTCTTTAAAGTCCATTAAAGCAACATTGCTTTATACGCGCGATTTACCTTTGTCGTACTTGAACTAAATTTTAACTTTAAAAGGTGATTATGAGTCGAAAATGAATTGTATTATCGGTTGCCAAGCTTATGCATGTTTGCGATAAGTGCAATTTGGTCCTGTACCGGTTGTAGGTGTGGCTCTATGCTAGTTGTGTACTTGCTTTTTTTTTTTTTTTTCTTCGTATTTGTTTTATTGTACTTATACTAAATTTTAATATTAAGTTTTAATATTAATTAATTTAAGACTTACTTTAAGAGTCAATTGAACTCGACTGCCATTTTGTTTTAGTTGAGTTTCTTGTATAAGTGGAATAAATAAATAAATAAATAATAATTTGAACTTTGAAATTCCTTTTATTTCCCACTTGGCACTTTTGCGTTAAATTGTTTTTGTTCTTTTGTTAATTTAACTTTTGCAATCGTTTTGGTAATGTTTTGCTCTTTGATTTTTTTCCGATTTTTTTTATATTATTTGTCCTTTGGTTCAATTCACTTTTTATTTATAGCAGTTCTCCGGTTCATGTGTGGTTTTCTTTGCGTTTATGTATGTTTTTCTTTGCTCACTCATGTATGCAGAGGTAATGCCATTGTGATTTATGCAAAGTGCACTTCATTCCTTTATAGTAGGATAGTTTGTTGTTTGTGTTTTTTTTTTGTTCTGTTCTTTTGCTTGTCCAAGGCTGTTTTTTGATTCTTTTACTTTTAATTTTTTTCTTTTTGCTTGCACTGTTAAAATGCGTAACTGTTTTTTTTTTCTCTTTTTTTTATGGTTCTGTTTTTTTCTTTTATCCAAGGCTGTTTTTTTTTTTAATTTTGTTTCCGTTTGCAATGTTAAATGCTTAACTGTTTATTTTATTTTTTTTTTTATTTCATAATAAAAGAGTCCCTGCTCGGGCGCCACTTGCGAGGACTTTCCGACATTCCAAGACATTTGTATTTGATTAATCTTATTATTACTTTTGCACTTCGTTTTATTAGTCGCACCACTCTCTAACTCACTGCTTCGACCGACTACTTCGATTGACTCACTTCGACTCACAAAACGCAAACGAAGCGCAAAACGTGAGCTATTTACTATTTAGCTTTGATCTAATTCGAGAGGTATGAGAGGGTACATTTAATAGCTAGTTGTAGTAATCAAACAATGTTCAAAACTGTCTCATACACGAAGCAAAAGTAGCAGAGAAATTAAACCACCAGCTGCCTTTCAATATTAATTTTTTTCATTTAACATAATCTTGTAGAATTTGTATCATATTTTTTATGAAACCTGTAAATGGTACATGCAGTGTTTACTTTTGCTTTAGCTCCTGAACTGAGACGCTATTTAACTTTTCCTCATAAATGAAATAAGCCTTGTTCATCTTCAAACCATTTGAAAAAAAATTCTGCATAATCTTTTCATTTCATTTGTTCATATAATCAACAAGTTCGTATTATCACCAATACACATAGGGGTACGCCAAGACTATTGGGTTTTTCTTTTTAGTCTAGTTGGTTTAATAAAGTTAACAAATTATTTTTAAATAATATTAGTGCAACGACATAAAAGCACTTTATAAAATATATAATTTTTGATATAATAAATTACTTTTCGTTTCACTTGTTTACAATTCAGTTACAATATTCGGTTTTTTTACTTCATAGGTTTCACGTTTTCAAAATGGTTATGCCGTTTATAACATAAAGAATACTTTTCTTCTCTTTACTCAGTGAAGAAATAAACGATAAAATTTAAAATTTCATTGAATTGAATTGAAAATTATGAAAAAAAAATTTGCAATCAATCCTTAATCAGTATATAAAATAGACGTGAGTACATTTATGTATATTTATTTTAAAAAATTGAAAAAGTGTGCATTGCTTTATTAAGTATTCACATAAGAAATATAGTTTTACATACAAAAACAGGCAAAAAAATATAGTGCACGTAGCAGCCGCAAATGCAAGTGTGAAATAGATTTTTTAATTTTTTAAATAAAAAATAATTTTATTAATTTGCAAGCTTTTTATCATAATGCGAATTTATTTACAAATCTAATAAGATCTTTAAAGTCAATATAAGTTCGATTTTGTAACGCATAATACGTATCTATACAAATAGCAAGGCATGGAAAGCTAATAAACGATCAGACGGAGAACGAATTGCAGACATCGAATAAAAACCGATCAATAACTATGTCAATAACCATCACTTTAGATACCAAATAAGCAGACTGTATATAGAATCAAAAGCGGATAAAGGATAATTTAGTGGACATTGACCATCAAATTGCTATGATCACAATTTATCAAAGATGAACTATTGACAACTTAGTTTATGAAATTCATAGAATTACGAAGACATTTTGCAGGCATTTCACATGTACGTTATGCGTTGAAAAAGACATTATTCAATTTTTCGAAATTTGCAAGCGTGGTCGAAACAATTTCAATCCTGGCTGTATTTATTTTTTTGTTGTCCATACATATATTTACAAAATATGGTTAAAAGGCACGACATGCGCCTGTAGGTGAGGCCTTCTGAAGTTAAACGATTAAGGGAAATAATAAAATAAAGACAATAATAAAGAAATAAATAAATGTAATAAATAAAAGAAAAGGTAATTATTTATATATATGTTCATTGTGTAGCTAGAGAAATTGAAATAAAGCGTCAAAGGCCTCTTTTCTGCTAGTTGGGAAAGGCGCACAAGAGAAATCATGTCTCTTTTGGAACGGCCAAGCACCTTCTCGAGGGGTTTGTTAATTTTCGATAGATGACATACCGATAAAGTATGGCCGGCCGAGAGGAAGACATTACAAGGGAAAACACGTTCGTAAAGGGTTATTTACCCTACGGTGGGCGAATGGAACACATTCAGCTCGGCTAAAGAGGTGACTACAGTCTGGCCTATCGGTATTTTCTCAATTTATTCAACCTTGAAAGTCGACTGAAATTCTCATATACGGTTTCCAATCGTAAAATATTCTACAATTGTACACTTAATTGAGAACGATTCTCTCCCCTATTGTTGTTCCAAACTTTTCATTTCACATTGATGTATATATAGGAGCGCACAAAGCACTAGTAAGACAGATTGCAATCTTAAATTTTATAAACGATCGCAATATAGTATTATGCAGACTAGTAGTAACAAAAAGAAACTTTACATCAGCGTTTACATGTATGAAAGTGACGCGAACAAGCTTCACCGTTACGCTAATATATAATTTTCAAAACAACAGTTCCTGTAATATTTTTTATAAATATTCAGTTCTAGTGCAATATATTTTACATGCCTTAGTTGACTAACCAAGTAGTGATTTTATATATAACGTGAGTATATAAACACTTTTATATATGTATGTTTTATATAGACCTACAAAAAATTGATACATAACAATCACTTTACTTACAATCCAAACCGAAAGGAACGTCTTTATCAGTTTTTAAATATAATTTGAAATATTAGTGTTTGCGTGAAATTTTAATAAAACAAGTATAAAAATTATTAGTGAATTACTATTAATTTTTCTTTGTTTTTCAAAATCTACCCATTATTATACGATATTAATTAATAAGTAAATTTTTAATTAAAAAATAACTCTCAGATACTTACCAGCTTTTACCTTCATTTCATTCTCTAAAACGCCCTCATTATCGGTTAAGGGCAAATCAACAAATTCAGCTGAGACAACATTGGCTAAAGCTTCCGATCAAGTCCAAAGAATTTTAGATTGTCGCACCGCTACTATGGAATCATCAGTTGTATCGAATATGAATAAACAATTTCCGTCATTCGAGTTGCGCCTCGATTTGCAATCAAATGCTTTTAAATTTGGGATGCCCAAATGTTCAGGATAGCTTAATGTGCTGGAAAATTGTGCTAAAGGTTCGCATGATTCTAAAGAATAACTTTGTATATAGAGAATCTTAAATAAAATGAACCAAATAATTAAAGTAATTTCGCAAGGTTTTAATTTGAAATCTTATTCACAATTGATTACCTTGTCTTTCACATCGGCAGTGATTATAATTTTTTCCTTTTTATAGTTACCCACTATATAACTTTGGCTGAGCAAAGATTTGCACACTGGAATATCATTTTTAATAGCTACAAGCTTTTTATCTACAATAAGCACTCCCGATGCGTTGAGCGGAGATGGGCTAAGCCAATAGATTTGTGGCTTATATGTTCAGAATCAAGAGGAAAAGTTTTTTTCTTTTTGATTCATCCCCATTTCCTAGAATTATGATACATATAAGCTCCAATAGATACCCAACCCAAAATGCTTACATTAAAAAATGTTGAAGCGTCAATACCCCCAATTATATATTATATTTCAAGCACTTGTATGAATATATGGAAAGAATTAACATCAAATTTTTCAATTTTTCAAAATAATTAACAATAGATTAATATGAGATTTTCATTTTTCCCAAATAATCCCAGTTTATATATTACTAAGATAATATCCTTATATACTACGAGCTTTTGGTTTTTCCATTCCTTTGCCGCTACACGAATATTCTATATAATCTTCGGTTTGGGCCAACAGTAGTGATTTAGCGATTTAGGTGGTGCTTGCAAATGTTCTTCAATGTTCTTCACCGCCATACTTTTCCACAATATGTTCCTTCGTCTGAAAAAAAATAAAATATATTATTGCACGGTTGTAATTGAGATCTCTAAATACTTTACGAATTTTTATATCTTTAAACAATTTGATGCAAGGTTATAAATTCAGCGGCTAAAACATTCTACATGTCGGGGGGGCAGATCAATGTCCCAATTGTATTCCGCGGACCCAATGGGGCTGCTATGAGCGTGGCAGCTCAACATTCTTAATATATTGCGGCTTTGTATTCCCGTTTTTTTTTCATCAGCAGTTCCTAGAGGAATTGCAGTGTTCTTTAAGTCATCTTTTTATTTGATTTCCACAATTGAAACTATGAGCCAATACAATGGGCAGTGCAAAAGAACTTAATACCATTCCCGAGGTTAGGAACAACGCGAACTCGGTTTTTGGATTTGTTTCAGAACCGGGTGACAAGCGTTTCGCCAGCATCATTGGTATCACGGAAATGACGTAGAATATTAAAACAAAGAAGGGATAAAAAATCTTCGGTTGTGGCACAGCACAAGCCAATATTAAAAAGGTCATACCAATACAGGTCATAAATGCACATATTAATAAACTATAGCGATAAAATAAGTAAAGCAATTTTATAATAAACTATAGCATATATATACGAAAAATAATGGCAGCCATATTATGCAAATTTCTACGGTCACCGTGATAGTTTTGCTTCTCAACACAAGAAGCACCAATAATGAAACGAAACGAAAATGAAGATGATATAAAGAATATTTTAAAGTGTCAGAAATTTTATTATGTACGCCAAAGTCACATAAAAGTGGCTGGAACAAAAGTTATTTTCTTTTTTTAGTTTATAATGGCTTGTCTTAAAAAAATTTCCTTGTATAATTTATTTTTACGCTATATATTATTATACACCTAGTGCTTTGCTTTCCTAGGCCTGTTATTTGAAATCTATATCAAGGGGGCTATTAAGAAAAGTGAATTGAGTACCTTGATCAGTAGTAATTTGCAAAGGTACACTGAATCGTGTGATAAAATTTACAAAGAAATGCGGGTTGACGCGCTTATATCCCTAAGAGCATATGCCTCTGGCCAGTGATGATTTGTGATTTATAAACGTCGGCAATGTGCACACTATATCTAAATAAATGTTCTCAAACCTACCTTTAGGTGCAGCGATTTTTGTCACTGGTGATTTTGTGTGTCTGCATACTTTAGATTTTTGGCACTGTTTACAATTGCCGGTCCAGCTATTATCTTGTTTATTCATACCTGGCCAAAAATATCTAGCATTAATTAATCGACGTGTGGCCTTGGTGAGAGAAATGTTATGCAGTTTTTTGAATACTGCCTTTCTATGTGTGTATGGGATATATCGAAATTTAAAAGTAGAATTTGAAACAATTTAAGATTATTATTCAGTTCTTGTAATAAAAATTTGCAATTCCTTATCGTTCAATTGTACACGTGTCGCATGTCATCAGTAAATCGCGAAATGCGCTCCAATTGTGTCGCTTGTCTTGGACTTCGTTCCGTTTTGGAGTCCAGAGCCCTTTTTAAACGTTTGTGATCGGTGTAAGCTGCGTATTGTATTCCTTCTACTAAATGCTTAAAGTATTTAATAATTAAATAAATCGCTAAGAGCTCGCGATCGAACGCATTCTACTTAATTTCAGACGGAGATATCTTTTTAGAGACAAAGGCTAATGGTTCTGCTACGTTGTTAAAAGTCTGGTGTAAAACTGGGTCCATACCTACATTCAAAACATCTGCTGTTGAAGAAAGTTTAGCTTTTCTATTAAAGTTTAATAGTATCTTTGACGCTCTCGAATGCTTGATCGCGTTTTCGTTGCAAATTAAATTTATCTCTTTATTTTTGTTAGCGTTAGTTATGATATGGTGTATAGGAGTGGTTTCTTCAGCAAGCATCCGTACATAACTATGGTAATAGTTTACCAACCCTACAAATTTTTGGACGTGTTTGACGGATTTTAGTTTTTCAAAATTTCTGGTAACTGTTACTTTGTCTTCAGACTGGCGAATCCCATCACTTGATATATAACGGTTATAATTGATATCTGTAATTCTAAAAATGCATTTGTTAGGTCTGATTACGAGCCCATATTCATCGAATCATTTAAATCTTATATCTACATGTTAGAAATGTTCAGTTTCATTCTCGCGTGCAAAAATTACGTCATCTATGTAAGCGAACATAAAGTCTAAACCACGAAACACTTCATCTACAAATTTTTGGAATATTTGAGCTGAGTTTCTTAGACCAGCAGGCATACGCACGAACTCAAACATTCTGAAAAGAATTGTGATTGCGGTTTTATAAACATCTTCAGGGGCCATTGGAATTTGGTGATAAGCTTTTACTAAATCCAATTGAGAAAAAATATTTTTGTTTTTTAAATTGATGTTCATATCTTGAACATGTGGTAAAGGGTATAGATCGAGTACTGTGACAAAGTTTAAACGCCTAAAACCGCGACAAGGACACCAGTCGTTGGGTCCTTCTTTTGTATCGAATTTAACTTTAACGGTTTTATATCTGACAGAATCAAGCTATCTGGGCTTACAAAACGGAAGAACTACTTTAGTAGATAATTTGTGAATAGTTAAATGTCTAGCTGGCTTTGAAGCATCTACCACTCGTTCACGCTTAATATCAACCAAGACATTTATTCAGGAAATCAGCACCTACTACTGGTGTAGAAACATTTGCGATTAAAAATATAAAAGGAAACTCGCGTCGCAAATTTAGGAGCTTTTTGCCAAATCTGTTGATTGTAGATCCATTGGCTGGCGTCAATGCAAAAGGGTAAGGCTCTTTGTAACCCTGAAATTTTGGAGAGGAAGGACAGAGATCTCTGCTTTACTATCGATTAAAAATTTCGGTTTGCTTGTGCGCCGCCGATGCAGTGGCAGTAACTAGGTTTTTGTTGTTGGGTTTTTCTTGACGAAGGCGCAAGGTTGCTCACATTTTTTGGCTTTGCTACGGAACCTGTAACGATAACGACAATGCGACCTTCTTCGTGATTGTGATCGATTTCTAAACTCACCGTAATTTCTTGAAGAATTTCTGGGTACATGGTTTCTTTACCTTTTGATCTCGTTTACTTCTAACGTTAATTTTGCGACCGCTTCATAAAGTGCTATCTGCGATTTCACTAAAAGCTGCAATATCTTAATGTCTTGGCACTGCTGTGAGTTAATGGGCGCTATTTCGTTTGGGGATGAAACCTCCCAAATGTCGTCTGCTAATTTTGCTATTTCTTTTATATCCTTAATATTGGAGCGAGTTAAGGCCACTGGCAAATTTATCGATAGTTTTCTAATCCACAGCTTTTTACGTATGATTGTGCATCAGGTGGTACCAGCTATTATGCATAAGTGACAATAGAGCTCGGAAGGTCTTCGATCACCTAAGCATAAGTCTGCCAAAACTTTACCCAAACTAGAGGCTTCCTTGAGATTGTATTTGTTAATTCAAAGTGTTGTTAATTCATCGTATTTATTACTGGTCGGTGGTTTTTGTATGTAGTCAAACACGGACATAACGACTTCCTATGGTAGCGCGGTTGCGATGTGTTCATACTTAGTTATGTTTTGCGTAACGCCTTTGGGCGCGAATTGGCTTTCTGCTTGGATAGACCAAACTTCAGGCCAAAACAACGGCTCCTTAATAGAGCTGGCAAATATTTCCGCGTTAGTACTGTTTCTTTGTGTATTATTTGTGAAGATGTTGTCTGTCATAAGCAAATCAACGGTAGTGTGTTTTATCGTGACGCTGTAAGTGGTGTATGTATCGCCTTGAAAGAAGGAAGTTTACAATGTAAAACTAATAAGTTTTAATAACGCTAATTAATTTATTACTAACATATATGTGCATCTGTACAAGATATATAAAATTAAAAAGAAAACTTAGTTTCTGTTCCTTTTTCTTTTTAATTCACTTCCCGACAGCAAAAATGAAATGCAAATTTAGAAATGGAGAGTATCAAAATTAAAATTTGGACAATAAAAACAAAGTCTTCATTGCTATTTTGTTTTAAGCATACGATATATATACAGGCAAACCTGTTTTTAAGCGGTAGATAGTGACCGCAGAAAAAAAACCGCACAAAAAAAATATTCAAAAACTTCATAAATAGCTATAAGAAATAATTTTTCACAGCATATTAAAGAAAATTTTTTTTATTCGGTAGAGAGGGACCGCATAAAAAAAGTCTCACTTAGAAAATATGCCAAAGCTTCACGAAATAGCAAGAAAGTGTTTTCCAAACAAAATAAATAATTAAATTACACATTGAAACATTTAACAAAATTTTAATTTCTAATTTTAAACAAGGAGAAATTTTCAAAATGTACATAATGCAATACTACTCGTTGTAGTTCAAAACGCGCATATTTTTGCGATGAACTGGTTCGTAATCGCTTTCGTCACTTGAAGATACTACAGTTGATTTATTTTTTGTTAACATGTAGTCGGTGATAAGTTTTTGCGACGACGGTCGTTTGGTCAGCTGTTTGTAAACGTCGCGATAGCCAGATATACACAATCGAAGCTCTTTTTGGAATTTCAAACTTCTTTGAGAATTGTTATCTATTTTAAGAAAATGCTTTTCCAATTTGCTGCAAAGCTGGATCCCTGCATATACATTTTATCCGCTGTAATAGATTCCGGTTCTTCTTGTCCGTCTTCATGATCTGTTAAGTTATTGATAATGTCACTATCATTTACGGTTTCGTCCTCAATCATTTCAATAAGATCATTTTCGCTGAAAGAGTCAAAACCTTCTCCGCAGGTTTGAGCATTCCTATTGAAATTGGCTGATGCAATATGTATGAAAATGGCTGTTGCAATGTGTACATGCACACTGATAGCAAAAAAAGTGATGCCAACACAGTTCAGATTGACCTAACATCTCGGCGAAATTCAATGTGTCGATATTCATATACCGCACAAAAAAAAATCGCACAAAAAGAATCGCGCAAAAAAAAGATTCGCACAAAAAGAATCGCACAAAAAAAAAGCGCATAAAAAAAGACCGCACAAAAACAAGTTTGACTGTATATATATATAATACTGAATACGAACTCTACTATTTTATGGTGGCCAAGAAATATTTTAATACCAGCTCTATTTCGGTGCTGTATTGAAAGATTTTTTAACGTATGGAATGGGAACTTTTTTTACAAAGCGCGTATAATACGACCATACAAAAATAAAGACACATATCAGCTGAAACAAATGATTTTGGGAAAGGTAGTCATTGTGTTCAGCACTTAATTGTGATCGTTTCAAATTCGTTCGTTCTCTTTTGTAGAGTGTTTACATCGGATGCCGCAGTCTACGGCATTATAATTCTGTTACTTAAATGTTTTTGTTTTGCTTCACTTTATTCAAATGTAATTCCCAGGCTTAAAAAACTACTCAAGCTGCACTTAGTTCTAAATGCCACACATTTTGATAATATCAAAATATATATAATGGGGTAAAATCAAATACAGTAACTATTGGTAAATATATGGAAATTGGAAATTTGCCAATTACGGTTACTTCTCATGCCTTAACCTTTCCATTGTTATATTCGCGTAGATTACTTTAATTGTATATATAATTATGATTGCAACTTTCACAAATAAATATTCTGCGTAGATTAATACAATTTCTTTTCTTAAATACGTGCGGTTTTCGGATAAGTTTGTACAGATATGTTTTAGACCAGAGAAAATTGGCGTCCATTATTTCCTCTACCTAAAAATATACTTTGTTTTGTCTACTAGTGTTGCGGAGCGTTATTAAGCCCTCGAACCTGTAGATACAATGAGAAAGAAGAAGATTTTCATTTATTTACTGGGCCACGAGATAATAGATAATAATAATAATAATCTTTCCCGTATATAAAAGTGAATTAAATCAAAAATTTTTTCAAACAAGCTCAGTGTCTTCGAAATAAGAGAATCAAAATTTTCTTAACTTTAAAGAAATGGCCACCAGCGTTGCGAAAGAAATCGATACAGGATGCTGTACTTGCATAAAAGCTGCTTTAAACTACAAGCCTTTATACCAAGTAATTGATGGAGACGTTTCATCGAAAACTTACGGTGAACTGCTAAAAGAGTTATTGCAAGTGGATGTAAGTTTCAAGTGAAATTATATTTTAAGCGTAAACATGCGAGGTGAGACCCGGCTAAAATGTCCCCAATATATTTGACATATGATTTGCAATCGATGTAGTTATTATTTGTTCAGTATATTTCCAGTGCCGAAGAAAGCTTGCCACAAAAAATTTGCGGCAAGTGTGCGAGCTTACTAAAAAAAATGTATATATTCATATTAGAAGCACGGAAGCGGCATGAAGAGTTAATGCAAATTAGCGGTATTACAATTCAAAATTGCTTACAAGAAATACCTATCGATATGCCTCAACTAAACAAAATGCAAATAAAAACGGATCCTGAAATAATTGAAACACAGCATTGTTTATTAGAATTAGTGGATGTGCAAATCAAGACCGAACTCGGAGATGCGGAGATGCAGTTTTCTCTATCAAAGAATAGGAACGGGGGAGCTGATACACACGACTTGAATCGTAATAATGGTAATAAAAAAGAACAACAGATAGTTGGGTAAGTTTCTAATAACGGTTTAAATCATATATTATTAACGAATCACTTTCAGTGACTACCGTTTGGATAGTATAAGTAATGATGATAGCGACGTTTGCTCTTTAGCAGAAGATGTTGTAAAAGAAGATTTAAAATTACCGCAGGCATCACTGGCTGTACGTTGTGACATTTGTGACAAAGTTTACGATAACGCCGTAGCTTTAAAAATACATAAAACGTATACCCACATGCCGGAGGAACAGAAGATGCCCTGTGCATTGTGCAGTTATAAATCAAGCCGTCCGTCAGCAATTAAAGTACATCTAAAAAACATGCATGGTCCAGAAACAGTAGACAAATACTTCAGACCTCGTAGGGTACTGAAAGGTAGTTTGTGTTGCAGCCAATGTCCGAAACGGTATAGTCGCAAAGATCATTTACAAAAACATTTCAAGAAAGCTCACCTTGCTGTTGACAACTCGGTGAAAAAGTCAAATCGCAAACCCAAACAAAGATCAGATCAGATTTACTTGTGCACGTTTTGTGGTCAATCGTTTGCTGAAAACGGAACGCTGAGTAAACATATTCGTATTCATACTGGTGATAAGCCTTTCAAATGCAACTTTTGTGAGAAAAGCTTCAGGAATTCCGGAAATTTAAAATACCACCTCACGACACATAGCGATGAAAAACCACACACTTGCTCGGAGTGCGGCAAATCATTTAAACGTAAAGATAAGCTACGCTCACATATGTTAGTACATTCCGAGCTGCGTCCGTATAAATGCAGCGAATGTGGAAAGACATTCAAATACTCGTGCGTGCTAAAAACGCATATGCAAATTCATAATAACCAAATCCAACTTACATGTAAAACTTGCGGTGAAAGTTTTTCCTTGAGAAGTTCCCTAAACACACATTGTGCGAAAAGTGGACATTTACAGCAGTGAGGAAAACTCTGTCTAGCAGAAACATATCTGCTTGTTATTAAATTATATGTGCAATCTCGTATTACTTTTGTATAAAATAAAATGTTTAACACTTAAACTGAAGAATTAGTACAAAACTGTAAAATATTTCGAAACCTTTTCTAGGGACCACGTATCGTGAGTCGTTGTTATTCCAAAAAGCAAGCAAGATTGTGACTTCCCACATCTGCATGAGGCGATTTGTACTTTGAATATAACTGTTATCATTTGTATTTTACATCAAAATTTTTATATCCTGTAGCACTTTTGGTAAAAGGGCTAATACACAGAGATAGACCCTTCTTTTTTACACCGATCGATTCAGAATCTCTTTGCGAGTCGGTTTAAGCCTGTTCAACCTAGAAGCCGCAATTTTTAAGATATTGACAAAATTTACATGCACATGTTTTGGCCAAGGCCGAATGCTATTGGAAATTGTTCGAATTGGACCACTATTTCGACCACATCTGACATAACCGCTTACCTTGCAAAATAATTATGTATGTTACTTAAGGGATTCGTTTAAGCATAGATTTTAGGTAAATATTCCTAAAGCGTAAATTACTTAAATGTAGGAGGGTAAGTAAATGAGCGAACTTCGAATTTTGTTACTTTAGGGAGTAAGTAAATGAGCGAATTTCGAGTTTTGTTACTTTAGGGAGTAATAAATTGTTTGCTTGCTTAAAAGTAGTGGTGTTTTTTCGGAATCTATATCAAGGCTGATATAATTACACGTAATTACTATTTTCGAATTGAAACTGCAACTTTGCCAAATTTCTAAGGTAATTTGTCAAACTAATGTAAACTATTTTTTGATATTATGCGATTTGCAATTTTGCAATAAAATAATTCACTTTGAAGTTGAAATCGTTCTCTTAGAGAACCATAAGTGGTAATTTCCAAATTATGGATCAATCAATACGCAAAAGGCCATGGGATGGTGTCATAAAATTTAAATAGATTAAGAAGATCAACAAAATTATTTTTTTATAAATTGGTTGTTAGCTTGACGTTCTTTCATTATCTTTGGATGACCGAATGTTTTTGTTAACATTGTCTGATAAAACGATATGGTAGTGCGGCCGCCCATTGTGTTTATCCCTTCGAAGTTTTTAACCAAAAAACGAAAATTAAGCCTTATTACGACAAGGCAGCACTGAACAGTGACCCGAAATATATTAAGATCTCTTTTCGATCTTTCGATTGGGACAGACATCGCGTGTTACAAAAGTGACACTCAACGTGGGGCCCATCTCAACAGAGTTTGATGGTTTCCCCACTAACCAATCCAAAGACCTTTTTTTTCCTCTCAGCGACATTAGATTTCATTCAATTAAATTTTTGCTCTTTTCTCTTTACGCAATTGGCGTATTTACTTTTCATAATTTATTTCATATACTTTTATATATATATATTTTTTTTTTTTGAGAATATATTAATAATATATTATATTATTATTTTATTCTTGTTTTGTTTTGGCAAGGGCTTGGGAACCGTAACATTAATCGCAGTTATCTCAGCAGTATAAAATGAAATGTTTAAAAGAAAGAATGCACTGTTCATATATATACAATAGTTGAATTAATGCACTAATTTTCTTTATCATTAGTTGCGACTTGCATATAATTCTTATAACCAAACAACAGATACAAAAAATGAAACCATTGAAAAATGCCAATTTTAAGTGCACCCAAACACTGCAGCACTTTTCTGCACGTATTTATATTGCATTCAATAGTAGTAGTAGTAGTAAATGCTTATACTGTTTCCCGAATCCAATTGGCAAATGTCTAAAATTTTTTTTTGCATTTGTTCTTTGTAACCGGTAAATACGGACACTAAATTAAGATTGCTAAAAAAATCAAGCAAAATGATGGTAAAACCGAGCAATGCGTCGACATCCTCCAGGCTGTTTTCTTAACGCTGCATTGGCAGACCTCGCACTAGTTTGAACAGTTGAATAACGGTGCTAACACTAAAATTGAAATTAAAGAAGTAAAATAAAAAGTTATATAACATAACAACAGTATCTCGCTTGCTTCATTACCCGTAGTATCATTTGTAATATCGCTTAGGTATTAATTCATTTCATATAACACCGGCGTAATGAAATAATATTTGACGTTAGTACAAAAATCTTATATCAAAAAATACTTATTCTATTTCTTGGGTATATTGTAGAACAACAAAACTATCTCAAATATATTCCGTCATTAGTCTAAATAACCACATAACAAAGTTCTTATCTAAGAACAAGCGCGCAGTTCGATCGCTAACAAGAAACCAATTTATCGTATAGTAATGCCCTTAGTTCGACAGAGTACATAGCAGAAGTTTGGATACGTACTGAACATTAATAAAATTATCAAATATATATAGTACAAATTTGCATATCTGGTAAACAGTAATAAAATTATTAAATATAAAAGACTAAAATTTAAGAACAAACATCCTACAATAATTTGTAACTTTCTGCAATAATTGGCCGCTATCTTGTCAATATCATCATGCATCGTATTTAAGCGGCGCATCAACAGAAGACACACACTCGTTAATGTTGAAATGATGTGCCACACTTATTGTGTTTTATCAGATGTCATTTTAAACTCTCTAAGCTCCGCACGATTTTTTAAGGAAACTGCATTTAGACGGACGATCATTGATGTATTTAGCACTAAAATTTGCTTATTTATACGTAATTCAAAACAAAAAAGCCTTAAATGGGGTAATTTTCATCTCATTATTAAAATGTGCTTTTTTCGTACGTCTTCGCAAATTATTTTTGCGGCTATAACGTTTCGGACTTGATTAGTTACACTGTAGGATCCTTAAGTGCCATAACACTACTTTGATCCGCTGACATCTTATATAAGTTTTACGATTTTTGAAGCAGCTATTTTGCTATAGACTTCATCGCAAGTATTGCAGAATAGGACCGACGAATTGTTAAGCAAATTATCTTCTGCTATCGAGAACCGTCACTAGTGTGAGTATAGATACTGTCTAAGCCACGTTGATAGCTGAAAGTAAACGCTCAGTAATAAATCATGTGAAATAGGTTGCCAAATTTACCTTTCGTTGTGCTTTAAAGTCGGTATCGCTGAACTCAAATTTTACTGAAGAATCATGATTTACGTGTCCAAATTCTAAACAGAAAGCTTCTGACTCTTCCACTCCCATCTGTATTCTTGCTTCAGTTGGTTTTAGCAACGGATTGCGCTGACGGTGCAACAATTAGTTCTAACATATAGGGTGGAGATTGGATCTTCTAAGATTCTATCTTAGTTTGCGCTTCCTCTACTATTGTAGGAGGTGCTGGTTTTTCGATCAACTCCAGCATATGCTCAATGTCCAAATCTATATCCATCCTATAAAAAAAGTGTTTATACCTATAATAATCCTCATGCACACATTCTTACTGATTTCACGCTATGACAACTAAAAACTGCACATGGTTGTAGAATTTCCATTTAATGCTATCACGAGAGTAAGCACTGTCTTCTACTGTAGTCCTTAAAAAACCGGTCTCTCGCCGGCATTCACCTCCACCTCTTTTTATGCTTTTCAATTAAAATTGGACATTGAATCGTTCCTGGAACTGGTTGAGAGTCCAGCACATTTTATCTACTTGGTTTTAGAAAGTAGCGCGGCCACACCTTCGTCAAAGGAAAGATTGAAGTTAAATTTCGGAATGTAATGAGCAAATTTGGCGACGGAGCCTTCGTGTAAGCTTAGAAGCATTAGTAGTGATATTAAAAATTATTAATGAATTATAAACATTATATTTTTAATTATTGCGGAACTTATTAGTAATAAATACATTTTTTTTTCTATTTCTAAAAAATCACGTTTTCTTTCATTTTTCAGTTTTTACTTTAAAACATTACTTTTAGAAAAAATTCTTTTTCACTTCTATTACAGTTCAACAAAACTGCCACGGATTATTTTTTATACATTCTACAAGTGTTTGTCTCTCTCATTACAGTTCGAAGCAACTACCACGGATTATTTTCTGTACTTGAGGAAATTATTTCTCGCTTCCATTACAGTTCGACACAACTGTAGAAGTCTGGTGACGGATTTTTAATATGGTCATGAGAATCCACCCCTCCAGACCTATGTGGGTATTTAGATGCAGGAGTACTGCAAGACAACCTCAACCTGTCACAGGAGATTGGATTAGACGTGCGAGCAGTCGTTTGCGACAGGAATCTCGCCTATAAGAAAGCGGTCCACCCATTACTCGCTGGAGTTCTACTGATCCACGATTATATACAACTGCTCCAAAGATACAAAGAAACAATTGAAAAAAGCAAACAAAATAATAATGAGATCAAAGACGAATTGCAGAAAATTAGCGACTATTTGATGACAGTTTTTAAGAAGGGCGATTGGAAGATTTGGCACCTCTTTCGCCTCATACAGGATAAGCCAGGACCTTTTTGAGGCGTTCCTCGTTAATATGTCTTTGTCAAAAAGGAAGAGGACCAGATCAGCAGTCGAAATCGTGCGATTGTGCAATCATCTACGGTACCTACAGGTGTTCCGATATAAAAAACGACTACAAACAACCGACGATTACCTCCTCATTAATGAAATGAGGTGTTGTAGTGAAAACTCAATTAAAGGTTCGTTTTAATAATTTATTATTATTATTATTCTTGGGTTTATCAATTATCGATGTTATTGCCTCTACCGTAGTCTTATAGTGTACATATATTTTGTGTGAGGTTTTTATAAATATTTATGTATAAAATTTGTTTGTATTACAAAAAAAAAATTTTTTTATTTACATAGGGTTCTTATACATAATTATACTTTTACAAAACAAAAATTTTGTTTCTGTAGGGTTCTTATACGTACTTATATATTAAAAAAAAAATTGTTTGTACAGTTTATATTTTTATTTTGTGTGTGTGTAGTTTATATTTATATTTTGTTTGTGTAGGCGCCTTACACTTAGGTAATTCATGAAGCTTCGTGATATAATTTTAACCTATCTTTATGCGTTATTAGAGTTTTATTTTTATTGTCTATTATTTTAATATTATTATTATCTT